AGTGATCAAGTCTCCTTCTCTTTGAAATGCTTAGTGCAACATTAGATGCAGTGGTGCACACTTATATTCATAACTACTCAGAAGGCTGAGGCAGGAAGCTCACTTCAGCGCAGGAGTTGAAGACCAGTCTGGGCAGTGTAGTGTCGAAAAAAAAAAAAGTTCAGCACATCCTCTTTGCACACTGGATAACACATCATAATGGTTAATCACTGACCAGTTCAATTATTTAAATACAGGGTGACCAAAAATTGTGTACTTTTGTTAGTTTTATAAGATACTTAAACAGGCAATATAAAAATGACAGGTTTATCAAATTTATTCAATAGTTTTTCTGTGTATGGTATATCTTAAAACATCCACTACACAACACAAGGTTACAGTCTGGACAGTAGTAACTAGGCTCTTTCTGAATTCTTTTTGCATTATTGTCTTTCTCTGAAGACACTTTACCCTGTCCTGTTGGTCCCTCCTTTTTTTCTGGGGAGGGGTATACTTTCAATACAATGTCTTCCCATTACATAATAATGGATGTCCTGAGTGGCATTTCACTATCATGTATTTTTCAATTATTTGGTCTATTAGACCTAATCTAAACTGTAAATGGCCAGGCGTGGTGGCACATGCCTAACCCCAGCAGTCAGGAGGCTGAGGCAGGAGGATCACTGTGAGTTTGAGGCCAGCCTGGACTACAAAGTGAGCTCAAAGCCAGCCTGAACTGCATAGCAAGACCCTGCCTCAAAATGACCAAAGAAAACTGTAAGTGACTTTGGACTCATTTGTTTTGAATAACTTACGAATGAGTTTCATACTGCTTAGTCCAGAATGTGCATAAATATTTTATAATAATAATTTTTCCTCACTTTTTGGTTATAGGATATGTGTTAGATGTTGGTCAACTCTGTCAGCATCACCCACAGAATTATTATGATCATTGACTGCTATTGGAATTTTTTTAGTTGCATTTCTTTTTTCAACTTCTATCATTTCTGCATTATGAATAGCTGAACACACGGAGACATCTTTTCTCAGCTTTCCATTTCATAACATGACTTCTCCTCTCTGACCTGCTGACATTTCTCCCTTTTTCAGTTTGCTCTTTTGCAGATCTTTGGCACTTCCTTCCTGTTCAGTCTCAGGGTCCCAAATACGTCTGCTTTGCATTGTAAAAGAATAGCTCTGAGTTCTGGAGAAGGGGAAAAATTATATCTAATGTACTTTTATGATGAGTTTTTATAGATCGTAATACAAAATTGCAGATTAGTTTTCACAAATAAAATAAGCATGAATTACTAATGGAAAATAACCAGAACTTATTATTAGGTTTGACTAGAAATAAACACCAAAGACAAATGCAACATTCTAAATAAAAAGGTGTGCAAGGGCTGGGGATTTAGCTCAGCAGCAAAGTGCCTGCCTGGCAAGCGCAAGGTTGTGAGTTCGGTTCCGGGTACCAGAGAAAAACCAAAAAAAAAAAAAAAAGGTATGCAAAAAATACTCGACATAAAACAAGTAGCAGACATACGAGGGTATCTCGTGCAAACAAGAATCAACTGGCTGAAATGACGCCTGCCCGAGTGACGCTCCTGGCGCAGTTCATTGCAGTTCATAATACACCACCCCTTGGATGAGCAAGCCACATAAAATTTCCCCTGATTATGAAGAGCGCTCTTCTGGAGGCCGGGGTTCCAGCCTAGTACTCAGGGACTCCCATTCTGTCTCTGAGTAGCTTCCTCCAAGTCCAGCATCCCTGGCCTTTTTCTCTTCCGTCCTGTCCTCCTCATCCCTGACGCGTCCTCTGGACAACCAGTCTTGCCACTTGTCTGCCGCAGGGTCTCTACTGACAGCTTCTAACTGTTCTCACCTCAGTGTCTCAAGACATTTACTACAGGCGCCATGCAGCTGGCACCAGCTACCTTGAAACTTGTTTAACGTATCTTCTCCCCACTCCACAGATGCAAGCAACCCTCGGCAGGAAGAGTGTCTGGAGAGCCCTGAAGGGAAAAGAGACCTCGAAACTGCAGCCCAGTTTGTTGCTAATTCAGTCAGTAGCAGCCTGCTGTCATTTAACACTCCGCATGGTGCATTTCATAGTGCTCCACATTTGCAAAGGTTAAAAAAAGTCTTCGCAGTCTCTTGCAGTTATCCCACCCAAGTCGAAATAATCATTGTAACAAAAAGAGAAAAAAAATTAGACAGGGTGATGAGGTTTTGTTTTGTTTTGTTTGGGTTTGGTGTTTTTGAAATAGGGTCTCACTCTGTAGTCCAGGCTGGGCTTGAACTCACTGTGTAGCCCAGGCTGGCCTCAAACTCCCGGCAATCCTCCTGCCTCAGCCTCTCAAGTGCTGGGATTACAGGCACGCATCACCATGCCCAGTAACGAGGTATTTTAAACAACTGAATGGAAGGCAAAAGTCACCTCCATTGTCAGGAACCACAGCTGCTTTTAAGTGAAAGCATGATTATCACTGAAGTCACGCTGTGAACTCGCTCACTAGCATGGTTTGTGGGGGCTGCAGACCCCTCTTTCTCAGGGGGTGAAAGAGCTGAACGAGACCAACGTGACTGTGACACTGTGCTTGGTGGAGACCTCTGTGTGTGCACAGGGCCGAGGTTGTCACTCACAAGCTGACACAGCTCTGCTCCTAGACAGGACCACCACTGCTGAAATAACCATCTCCCACCCCCTATCTGTAATTTAGGGAACGGCTGCTGTCTTTTGACACTGACCCCTCAAGGGGTTTTTGCTTTGAACTCTTAAGAAAATAGTGGAGAGCAGTAAAAAATATAAACATTACCATCTGGAGATAACCCTAATAGTAAATTGGATAATTTCCAAATGTTACACCATGTGCACGCGCACACACACACGCACACACACACGATTTAGGCTTGCACTGTACATGAAAGGTATCTATCTGGTCAAGACCACAAGCTGCCCTCTGGAGTCTGACCCCAGGATCTGAATCTGACTGCCCCACACACTGTCCCCACAACCTGGGACAGACTGCTGTCTCAGCACTCTGGGACAGGTGCAGTGATCTCTCCTGCCTCATGCTGTCCCGGGCTTCAGGAAGAGGGCTGTAGGAGCGGTTTCTAATAGCACCAGCACAAACAAAACCAGCGCCCCCAGGAATGGGCACGCTTACACAGTTCCACGGCTTATCCTCTGGCTTAACGTTGTTATCACGGCCCTGTTGCTAAATATTCTTTGGAAATAATATTCTCATGGTTATAGGGTCACGCGTCTTACTTTCTTTGCTTAACATTTTATCGTGACCTTATATTTTTAAACATTCTTTGGGTGTTGTAGTTTTCACATTATGCCTTGTTCTTCTATGCCATTTGGAGGAAGGGACATTTTTATGTCATTTATTTTTTTATTTTGATTACCAGTGAGACCAAACCTTTATGGTTATATGGGTCATGTACAGTTTAACTGACACAACTGCACATACAATGGGATATAATATGGTAGATTTGCAACGATTAAAGCAAATTATTCAACACGTACTTCACCTCACATCTTTGTGATCTCTTACCACGTCATACAATAGTTCTCCAGAACGCATTCCTACTGTCTAACAGAAGCTTTGTACCTTCTGACCAACATCTCCCTGTTCCTTTACCCCAGTTCCACTCCCAACCCCTGACAGTACCATTTTATTTTATTTCTACAAATTTAACATTTTAGTTCAACCCATGAGATGAGTGAGACCATGCAGTATTTGCATGTCTGTGCCTGACTTATGTCACTTAATAAAATACCCTCTGGATTCAGCCATGCTGTTGCAAGTGACAGGACTTCCTTCTTTTTCAAGGCCAAATAATATTCCTTTGTGTGTGTATGCCACATTGTCTTTATCCATTTATCCGCTGGTGGATACACAGGTTTATTTCACCTGTTGGGTGTTACGAATAACTTCAGTGGAGACAGGCCACTAAGTGTCTTTTCAACATATCAGTTTCATTTCTTTGGGCTATATACCCAGTAGCACGATAGCTAGATCCACTAGTAGTCTTATTTCTAACATTTTTAGGAACTTCCATACTATTTTCTATAATGGTTGTACTGCATGTATTTTTGTCTTCGGGTAGCTTTCTGTTCATGCTCGTGTTCCCCGTTTTTGTTCTGCTTTTAGTGGTGTTGTAAAGGATTTTTCCCATATTCATGGTAAATGCCACTCACATATTAGAAACTTCATTCTTCTATTGCATTTTATTTTTTCAGTTTACGTTGTGGTGTATGGTTTCCATTTACTCACTGACTCAGTACCCAGCTCTTGAGCATCTGTGAGGAACCTGGCACTGCTGTATGCACTTGAGGATGCAGCAGGAAGCGAGGGGACTGAAATTGCCGTCCTCAGAGGGCTTGCATTCTATTTGAGGGTATAATTTCAGTGGACAAAACCACCTGGCTTCTGGAATGCCTGTTCCACAGTTTGAGAAGTAGCTGCAATTATGAAAATACAAACTGGCCCATGAATGCCATCTTCCAGAAAACCATGACACACACATGAAAATGCAGGAAGAGACCCCAGAACTTGGGCTTAGAGGAAAAGCTGAGTACCACCTTTGAACGTGTGTGACCGAAAGAGCAGCCTTAGACTCTCTAGTGGGGCTCAGGTGGGGTTTTCCTCGATGTCCTTTCAGGTAGGTACCTTCGCAGGGGCCTCTCAGACCCCACAGCTGCCTGTACGTCCCACAGCCTGGAGCTAGAGAACTAGAGGTACGGTGGGACTGATGAGACCAGAAGTGCTTGGGGTCCCATACACACAGTGGACTGCCCCAGACGTGGCTTGATGGAATATGTGATACCAAGCCAATTTCATGAGCAAGTCCTCGCCCTCAGCGGAGCATGGCAGCCACCAGGACTGTCCAGGGAGCCAGATTCCCTCTCCAGCCGCCAGCATGCGTGACTCGAGGGCCAGACTGCTCCCCCGCCAAAAGCCTTAGCACCGGGAAATGAGTCCAGCAAGGGCCCAGGGAGACCTCGAACTTACTGAGACTGTCTCTGGCAGCAAAAGAACAGCGAATCGTGAACTAACGTGTGGCTCGGGAGCAGAGTGCTTGCCTGGAATGTTCGAGTTCCTGCACTGGGAGAAAAGGGTAGAGAATCAAAATAGAAACTTAGCGGCATTACAGGAAAATAAAGTTCTATTCCTTATTGATTGGCATATGCCACTCCGTGTTTTTTAAAAATCACCAAAAAGGAGATCGTCACCTAAACCTTTACATAAGAAGTCCCCACGGTTAAGATGCCACAGTCAAAATGTCATTAAATTAGAATCACTTCAACTTTTAAAAGTGCACGTCAGGAAGCATGACTTGTTCTAGTAGTTCTCGGGCAGAGGACGCAGATTCTATCTTCAGTGGTGGCACAAACACCGCACACATACACGCTCAAGAGTTAACACAAAGACACCGGGTAAGCAAGCTCTCTGAGGGCAGGATCTCTGGACGGTCCTGATGAGAAGAACCCTCCCTCTTCCACTCTGCCCGCACAGGCTCCACTCCGCAAGCCCTCAGGCCTTTCCCTCCCCTTCCCACCTGAGGCTGCCTCCTCAGCCCAGGCTCTTCCTCACTGAACAGAGGCAGATCGTGCTGGAGAAACAACGAATACAAGGAAAGCTTCAGAGGAGAAACCTAGGGCCCGATATATAGCTCAGCAGCGCAGCGCCTGCGTCGCATGCGCAAGGTCCTGAGTTCGATTCCTGGTACCAAAAAGAAAAAAAAAGGAGAGGCGTAGAAAGGGTGTGCAGTATTACCAATATTTGAAAAAAGCCCACAGTGGTAACATTTCCTACCCGTTAGGATGGTTACTATTTTTTTTAAATGTGGAAAAATTGGAATCCTGTATCCTGCTGGTGAGAAGGTGAAATGCAGCCACTGCGGGGAACCATAGAGCCAGCAATTCCCCTTTGGGGGCTGTCCCCCAGAAAGCTGAAAGCAAAGATGCAAAGGAAGCCGGTCACACAGACTGCGTGGTCCCAATTGTGCGAGGCTCTCTCTCTCTCTCTTTTTTTTTTTGGCACCGGGAGTCGAACTCAGGACCTCGCGCTTGCCAGGCAGGTGCTGTGCCGCTGAGCTGCACCCCAGCCCTCGTGTGAGGTTCTTGGAGCGCTCGCAAGCACAGACACAGAGCGGGCGGTGCTGTCGGAGCGCAGGGGCGATGGAGCGTCAGCTGGGGAAGGCAAAAGGGTTCCGGACCCGGACGGTGGCCGTGGTTGCGTCAATGCACTTAAGGATCCTGAACTGTGTACATGACAAGGCGGAGAGAAGAAGGAAGAGGACAGGGAGCCGGAGCGGGCGGAGGAGGCTGGCGCACGGGAGGGCTGAGTTAGAACGGAAGCCTGGAGGAAGGCGCAGGGCAGGGCTGGCCGCGGAGCACCCGATCAGTTCCCCTTCCGCGGGCTGAGGAGCGGGGACGGCAGCTCTCGCCAAAGCTCTCGCCATCCGCCTGTCCAGGAGAAAGTTAGCCCACGACACGATCTCCCCAAAGGGGTTCGCCCTGGTTCTTGGGTGACCAAAAGATGCACTTTTGTGATGTGCCAAGCCCACACACAGTCCGCAGTGCCTCTGTCTTTAAACTGTTACGGGGAGAATAACGGGAAGGAGGAAGTCTAAGAGGAAGGAGCAAACACCAGCCCCGAAAAAGCGCACTGCGCTCGGGTCTGGGCCTAACCTCGCCAGCGCCCTCATCCCTGCCCCTCCCAGCGCGAGTCCTGTTCTGGCCGTGCGACCTCATCCTCGGTCGCTAGCATTCCTCGGAGCCCGGGCTCCTGGCCCTGGCGGGTCGCGGTCCCCCGGCGGCGGGTGCACGGCGCGCAGGCCTCGCGGGGAGGATCCCGCTCGTGCCCACGTTCACAGAGAGGCTGCCGCTGCGCCGAGGAGGGCGCGTTGTCCCCAGGGAACTCCGCCCCGCCGCCCGGCTCTGACACTCCCGAGGGCCAGCCCCGCAGCTCCGGCCGGTGCGCCGCGGTCCTCCGCCCAGGGCGGCGCCGCCCAGGGTGGCGAGAGCCGCCGCGGAAATGTGGAAGCGGCGCGCGGGAGCTTGAGAAGCCGGGTCTCTGTGGCGCAATCGGTTAGCGCGTTCGGCTGTTAACCGAAAGGTTGGTGGTTCGAGCCCACCCAGGGACGGAGTTCTTTTCGAGAATGGAATGTAACCTTGAGAGCTTTTTATCCTGATTTGAGCATAACGCTACACCGTTTCTAGCCCAGAAGACAATACCGAGGGGCTTAGGTTTGCTGCTGAGGACTCTCGGCTCCCACGCACGCTCGGGGACACCAGCGTGGAACCACTGAAACGGAAAAGCAGCCACGACCCACGTGAATGCCTGTGGCTTCTCTCCGAACTGTCTGACCCCACCAACGGAGAGTGTAGTTACCCCATAGCGCTGTGTGTATTTCCGTAAAGATGAGGTGAAGCCGGGCGTGGTGGAGCACGCCTGTAATCCCAGCACTCAGGAGGCTGAGGCAGGAGGACCGCCATGAGTTCGAGGCCAGCCTGCGCTACATAGCGAGCTCAAGGCCAGCCTGAACTACTTAGAGAGACCCTGTCTCAAAAAAAAGAAGAGTGGAAGCACACTGTCCTAAGAAATGGGTCACTGAAGCTTGGTCACAGCTTTTGGACAATGGACTTAAATCTAGGAAAAGATGTCCCGTTTACCTTAGGTCGCCACAGATTTCCCCTGAAGTTTAATTCAAGCAGAAATAGTACGGGGTGAGGAGAGGCTTCTGTTTAAAAGCTTCACACGACATATTTTCAACTCTAGTCTCGCGGGGGACACAAGCATTCTTCAAGTAGATGATTCACTTAAGACTTCGTAGAAAGATAGCGACGTGCACGTTATAATTCTCTGCCGAGCTTAAGACAGTGAGGGGGTGGACGCTTTGTCTCTGGAATCTTCTGTATCAGGACCAGAGCTGGGAGCCCCGAGGAGGCAGAGGGAACCGAGTCACCAGGTGTCTCTCAGAGGAGGCCTGGCGGTGCTGACCGGTCCTATTTATCAAGTAACTGCTGGCGTCACAGTGTTCTCTGTTGTATCGTTAGGAGCCCTCAAGGAGACAGGGCATTGCTTAGGATGGACTTGCAGGCAGGTTAACAGGTAGGAGCCCCCAGAACGTTCTCAGGTTGGGGTTTTGCTGAAGTTCATCAAAATGGCCTGCTTCCCGCCTACTTTTAAGGGTATTTTACAGTGGAAACAAGGGATGGGGGGGGGGATTAAGTCATAAAACCATTTATACATTTCCGATCTAATTTAATTTTTTAAGAGGAACAATGTATTTGCTATCACTAAAACTGTCAGGACTACCTGTAATATCAGCACTCAGGAGGCTGAGGCAGGAGGATCGTTGCAAGTTCGAGACTAGCCTGGGCTACAAAGGCCAGCCTAAACTGCACAGTGAGACCCTGCCCCAAAAAGACAAAAAAAAACCCACAGATGAAAAGCTTCCAGGAGTTAAAGAAAAATAAAGGTAAAAAAAAAAAAAGGAGGACTTAGAATGTGTACCTTCAGAGAACGTCTTTACCAAGGTTATAAACTCCTTCCAGCAGAGACCATCTTCTCCTTGGGATGATAATCTTAGGCTCCAGGAGACTTCCTTCAGGGTGCAGCTCCTCAAGCTCAGCACACAGGGTCAACAAGATCCACACCTGTCTTGCAGCGCTTCGGCTTCAGCACTTCCCTTGGTTCTGCGCACTTCCTGGGTTCCCTGAATGGTCCTGGGCTTACACCCCAGGGGCCTCTCACTCTGCCTTCCCCACCTCCACTTCCCTTCCAAGGCAACGCCAACTGAGGAGCCGCCTTCTCAGCGTAGCCTACCCTGCTGCCCGTCCTCTGAGAACCCCAGCTACCCTGCAACCCAAGAGCTTTCATCATGTAGACTCGGTGGGAATTCATGAAGACTATGCACCGCACCCGGACTTCTTTGCGCTTCTGGACAGGCCTGGCGCAGGACTTGAGCCCGGCGCAGGAGCAGCCCCTGCCTCCCCAGGTGCTGTGCCCAGAGGCGGACAGTCAGATAACAATCAGGGAAGGAGCATCAGCAGGAGCCCACGGGGAAACGTGCCTGGGTGGTTATAATGGCCAGTGTAGACCAGAGTTCCGTTTTCATGGAAAATTCGAAACAACCCCGAAGGATCTGAAAGGAAGCAAGGCAGGGAGGGCCGTTTAAGGCTGGGGAGACTGGTGGGAGGGCAGGTGGGTGGGCACAAGCGGTATGGAGGATGCTCCTACTCGAAGAGGAAGCTGTGGAGATCTCCTTAGCTGTGGAAGGGCCCTGGAGACCCAGGGATGCGGTGAGATGCCACCTGGTAAGGTAAGGGAGTAACTTCGAGGTTTCTGCCTCCGGATGAATGAAAGCCACGTTAGGCAGCTGGTCTGGCGGCAGTACAGGGGAAATGAGAACTCCGAGAACAGTGAAAAGAATTATACTTCAAGGGAGGGGCCAGGAGGCTTGGGGTTAAGGTGGGTCTAGAGAGAAAGGTACGGATGCAACTCAAGGGACGGCTGGGCAAGGCTTGGGAATGGAAACAGGAGGGAAACGTCCCGGACAGTGTTCATTTATTTCAGTCAGACTTCCCCAGAGACTACTACAGGGGTTCATGGAGCCCTGTGGAAAGCTAAATGGACTGGGTTTGAGCCTCATTCAAAAAAAAAAAAAAAACACAACACAACACAACAGGAAACAAAACTTAAATGGGAAGCCAAAGACCCTCTCCTCAAAACATGCATATTTGGGCTGGGGATTTAGCTCAGCGGCTAAAGCGCCTGCCTGGCAAGCGCAAGGTCGTGAGTTCGGTTCCCGGTACCGGAGAAAAAAAACCAAAAAAAAAAAAATTAAGAAAAAAATATGCATATTCATGGACAAAATTTTGTTTACGATTGATATCCAAGGGCAATACAGAGCCTATCGCAGAGTCCTTGGTCACCAAATTAAGGAGCCATGGCTTTTATTTACTGAATTTGTATTCTCATTGTTGATAAATCCAAAGTGTTCATGGAAACATTATTAATCTGAAGATTTTAAGGTAACACAAAGAATCAGAAATAGTCCAAAGAAACCAGATTTTTTTTTGATGAGCGATTAAATAGGCATGTAAAATTAGTAGTGAAAGATGAGACAAAAACAGCTGCTTTGAGATTGTAATACAGTGCTTTATTGTTACAATCTGGAACAATGGAGATGAGGGGCTTTCCTGATAGTGACCCTTTCAGAGTAACTTCTAGGGAGATTTGCACCATTAACAGATACTGGTTTGCATTGCTTTTGTGCATTATTTTAATGAGATCCAGTCAAGTGCCATATTTACCAGATTTACCGTATTTACCATACTTTAGTTTTTATTGGCAAAAAGTTTGCAGTTGTACCATACATTAATTTTTATTTTAATGAGATCCAGTGAAGTGCCATATTTACCACTTTACCATATTTACCACACATTAGTTTTCCTTCATGGAAATTGAGTTACTTTTGTTTGTTTTATTTTGTTTTGTTTTGTTTTGAACAGCGTCTCACTAAATTGCTTACGCTGGACTGAAATTTGCAGTCCTCTGGCTCAGCTTCCCAGGGTGCTGGGATTACAGGTGTGAACCACCACATCTGGTTTACTGTTTTGTTTTTTTTTGGAAAAGCAGCATAAATCAAATGTCAAATATGACTCAAACTAGTTGCTCCCGAATAAGTATATCAAATACACATTTCACAATATGGAGATTATAAATTGTCTTTGTAATACATGCAGATTATTACATGTGTGAGCATAATAATGTCTTACAGTTAACTGAGCAATGTATTCACTTACACTGTGTATGTCTGATTATTCAAAATCACTGTAATAAATACAGCAGTTATAGAACCTTTTAGAGATGAATGCCCAAACTGCAACCCCAAACCCACTTATACATTGCAAAGTGCCAACACTGCAATTCAACCTGCATATTGAGATTTTAGTTTAGAAAGAACAACTCATACATCACCATCTTTTCACAAACAACACATGTGCTATAGGTTTGCTACCTCTGTTCTATAGTTAAAGATATGGATTGGTCAAGACCCAATATGGAACTAGAGTTTTAAATTTAGGATTTCTCTATTAATTACCAAGTACAAGATTCTTTAATCCACAACTCCATAGCCAGTGAGACATCAGTTTACAACTGCGAACTTTTTGCCATCTTGCTAATTAGGCCTGGTCTGCCTTGCCTGGGAGCCCAGGACAGCGTTAGATACCGTGTGAGCTGTAGGAACGCTTGCATGTATTTAGGTAATCTCTGCCTCCTAGCCCAGTGGGAGGGGTATAATTGAGGGGGAACTGGCCAGAAGGGTACTTTACCAAGCTACCGAGTACTCCTAGTGACTAAGCAGAAAAATGCACTTTTATTTGTGGCCTGGAATATTTCACAGAGTTGTTTCTTATGCTTTCTTGTTTCTGTGGTTATTTTTAATCTAATGATTATTTTAAACATCTCCAATACCAAACATTTATGGTCACTTTTGAACTTTTGCTGTTTGCAGAATAAAGGTCATTTCATGAATGCGCCTCCTGATGTAATTTTGAGCCCTGCCCTGTCGTCTTCTGTTTTTGCTGGGGGAACCCTGGCAGGGATATGGGAGTGGAGGCCTTAGTAGTGAAAAGCTATCTAAAACAACCAAAGTTTCAACAAACTGAGTTTTTAATTTTTTTTTATTTTAATACATATATATATATATATATATATATATATTTTTTTTTTGTCTTTTTGAGACAGGGTCTTACTATGCAGTTCAGGCTAGACTTGAGCTCACTTTGTAGCCCAGGTTGGTCTTGAACTCACAATGATCTTCCTGCCTCAGCCTCCCTAGTGTTGGGATTATAGGCATGCACCACAATGTCCGGAAACAAATTGAGTTTTATGATTTAATTTTTAGCAATTCATTAATGGAGCAGCATTCCATCCACGAACTAGAAGCCTGTTCAGATGAGAGCAGAAAAAAGCAGAAGCAAGAAACAAAAGTGGATTGTTTTAAAGTTACTTTCTTACAAGGTTAAAGCAGAGGGGCCTGCGTACCAGGCTGCCTCAGACAGAGGGGATCCTTATTCCTGGTGAGTAAGACCCCCATTCAGCGAGGGGCTGGGAGAAGCCTGAAGCTCCTGCTTCTTGTGCAGACGGGCGCTTCAAGCCTCTTCCCTTCCAGAGACGTCCACCCTGCAAGAGGCCAGTGAAGATGAAGGCGACCAAGAGCACTCCCTGTCCTCGTCCCATCATGACCTGCACTCTGATGGAGTCCTGTCACCTCAGGAACTCCAGCCTCCTGGGATGTTAAAGGTCCACATCTAATCTCACCCAACTGCTTGATCTCTTATCCTGGGCCTCTCGTCCGAGGACCTCCCATGGCAACTCTACCCACAGTCCCCCCTGCCACTCAGCCCTTGCACCAAGCGAAATGACTCTTCCCACAAGAAACAGCGCCTACGGCCCCGTCCATCATGGCTCTTTCGTCTCCCGTTACACAGCTGGACCCAGAGGTGGGCCAGGTTCTTCCTCATTGCTGTTTCAACTGCTGCTCTCCATCGCCCTTAAAACCCTGAGCAGCCTTTGAAGCAATCCCTGAGACTGAATCACTGCTGCTGTTCCTTTTGTTGTCACCTCCACATCCTTGGGGGATTGGTTCTGGGATCCTCCTCAGATCAAGTCCCTGCTATAAAATAGTGTAGCATTTGCAGAGAATCCATGCACATCCTCCCATATATTTTAAATCATCTCTAGAAAACCCACAGTATTTAATACCATGTAAATGCTATGTAAATAGCTGTCATTCTGTTATTTATTTATTTATTTTTTTAATTTTGAGACAGGATCTCACTATGCAGTTCAGGCTGCCCCTGCGCTCACTTTGTAGCCCAGGTTGGTCTCAAGTTCACAATGATCCTCCTGCCTCAGTCTCCTGAGTCCTGGGACTACAAGCGTGCGCCACCCTGCCCAGCCATACTGTTATTTAGCAAATAATGATAAGGGGAAAGGTCTGTAGATAATTTAGTCCAGATACAAAATTTTTCTAACACTGAATTTAAATCTGCAGACAGGGAACCCATGGATAGCCAGCTATATTCTGACTTTCCTTCAGTATGGTGGCTACTGAATCACTGTGTATTTCTTTGTACCAGGACTGCTACAACCATTTAGATTACTTTGCCTTCCCTCAGACAAGCCATACACCACCTGGGCCTCTTCCTTCCTAAGCTTTTCATGCGCTCTCCTTGTTATACTTGAGACATTTTTATCACCAAGTTCTGCGACCTCCAAAAGCTTCATTTCAACCGCACCAGTTTCTAACCAGCTTCCTTGCTCCACCAGCTGCTGGCTGGCTTGGAATGCTCCTCCAACCCACCCTTTCAGTGCGCTCTCCTTACCCATCGAGATAATCATTACCTGTGTCCGTTATTGCTAGCAAATGCCCGGGATAATCAACTTACAAAAAGAAAAGCCTGACCTGGCTCAGTTTTAAGTTTCCTCCCATGATCCCTGGGCCTGTGGTAAGGCAGCACATGATGATGGAAGACTCTTCATGGGCAGGCAGCAAAAAGAAGAGGAAAGCGGGGTTGCACTGTCCTCCTTGGGGGCTCCTGATGGCCTGAGGACGCCCCCTAGGCAGCAGTGGGCTCCACTACTTCCAAGCAGGGCAAAGCCAGAGACCCAGAATTTAGTACACAGGCCTTTGGGGGACGTTCTAGATCCAAGTTACAGCATTGCCCTTGGATAAAATCTTAATTCTTTTTTTCCTCTGTCTACTATGGATAAATCCAGCTTCCCGAATACTACTCTCCGACCTGCACCTGCACAGCTACTAGACAGGAGAAAACAAAAACCAAACCAAACCAAACCAAACAAGCCCCGTTGTCTTAGCTGGTCTCGGTTAAACTTAAGACCCTAAAAACCCAGTGGGCTCCGCAAATGGCCCTATTGGATAAGCTCTCCTCGCTCTGAAACTAGTTCAGCGGACTTCAGCTCCTTCCTTCACAGTGGATGTTTCCCTGAGGAAATACTCGGAAGGCAGCTTTCATTCTTTTTCTGCCAGTCTCTGTAACTATGTACTGTCTTGCCTCCTATTAAAATGATGTATTCTGGCCCTTAAGGTCACACCCTCCCTCCTCTTCTACACGGGATCCCATCCCCAGAGAAATCTTCTGCAACTGCTGATTCTCATCCACGTTTCTCTCCCAGTAACATTCACACACAAATAGAGCACATTCCATCTCCCATCCTAAAAGACAGGGAAAAACTTTGACCTAATACTTCCCTACTAGGCACCAGGAAATGTTTTAAAAGTGGGCCAACAGCCCCACTTCCTCACCATCCCTACCTTCACACACCCACTCACACTAGTTCTCACCTTTGGTATTATACTGGGGATTGCATTTCAGCATGAATGGGGGGCAAGTGTGGAGACCACAGCAGCTGAGGCCAGCTGAGGCCAGGGGTGCTGAGCAGTGTGAACGTGAGGGAAGAGTTAGAGATTAAAGTGGTTAGCAGACATCCGCTCTCCACGGCTTTGGGCCCTTCTGAGAACACCGCTGGCGCCTTCATCTTGGCCTTCCCAGCCCCCAGAACTGAAGAGATTCGTTACGTGCAGATCTCCCAAAGGCACTTTGTTACACAAAGTGCCAAACACACTTGTTGCTCATGACTTGCGCCCTCCCTGTCACATCTGCTTCCCTAGCTTTTCCAAATGTCACCCAACTCCGAGACTCTCGTCCAGTCCAAAATCGGTCTCCTCCTCACCGTCTCTCCCACAGTATTTATTGCCGTCTAACCATCAGTCCTCATTGCCTGCAATTTCCATACTGATAAGTTCACTTACTTGCTAAAACTTACTTGTAACCCTAAAGCCAACACTTTCGCTTTCTGCGGCCGTTTGTGGACATACTCAAAAGAAAACGTGAGATGCTGAACGCACACTCCCAGCTGAGCTCCGACCACCTTATTTTAACTTCCGTATTATAATCCTACAGGTGTTTCTGTGGTCTATTTAATGCCATCTTTTCATTTTTATGCGTCTTGGTGATTTCACTGTTTAAAATGGGCCTGAGCATACAGCCAAATACTGTCTAGTATTTCCAAGCACAAGGTAGGCACAATACACCTTAAACAGTAAGTTCCTGTTAAATAAGCTTCATTCAGGCCTGAGTTATAATGCTGCTGGTCTTGAGTTCAACGCTACTAAATTAATACTAAGATTATCTGTTATCTGTGAGCAGAAACGCACACAAAAAAAGACCATGGTTACTGATTGGTTTACAAGAATGTGATTATAGGGGCTCACAGGAACCTAATCCTGTTATTTCCCTCAGCAACAGTATTTCATGGTGACTTTGCTCATGGCTACCCAAAATACCAAGAATTGTACGTACACCTTCTACCACCTATTATCTCCTTAAGACAAACTCTTTCAAGAGCAAAAATTTATTTCACGTTCTCCTCTCAGGTTTACAACAGTGCTGAACCCTTACGAGTAAGTAATCTACAAGCGCTTGTTCAGTGGGATGCACAAGGAATTTTTTAAAGAAATGCAAGGAACCGACAGTTACAAAAAATGCTCCACCTCAACAGCAACCATGGAAACGTAAACAGACAAGGCCAGTTTCCCCTTTGTCCCTCCACTGTCATCACCTAGTGCTGGTGAGAGCGCAGGGAAGCCAACGAAACCATCACCACCACTTGAAACTACAGGCGGGGTGCGGTGCAGCAGCCTGTAACTCCACCTACTTGGGAAACTGAGGTGAAAAAAAGCATGAGTTCAAGGTCTGCCTGGGCGATTTTCCAAGAGGACCCCATCTCAGACAAACAAGACTAAATGTGTACATATTCACTGATCCAGTGATTCCAATTCTAAAAAATAAAACTTGGAGACAAAAGATAACTGTTGCAGCCTAACAATGTCATCTCAGGATCTAAAGATCAGTGCAATGGGTTATCTGTACATGTATGGCATTATCAAGAGGCACCTGGAACTATAAGGAAAAATACTATTAAGGAAAACCAGATCGTACACATAGGTATAATAGGAAAAGGTCTGCATCAAGAGACAAACGTTTGCAGTGGTTGTCACTAAGTCATTAAGATGATTCAAAACTCACGTTTCCCCACAGAATATACATTACTTTTATAATCGAAACAAGATTTGGGAATAAACTTGGCAAATGAAAGGTATTTTACCGTTGACTCTTAAACCAGAGTTTAACTCAAATCACTACAGTGATGATGCTGCTTGGGGATCCAACCTTTAACTGAAGCTTTAAACGCAGAACGAGGAGCGACAAGCTCAACAGTTCTACCTGCTGGGGGAGCCACTTTTACGCCAGCTCAGTTCTACGGCCTCCAGCTATGTACTGTTTAGCTGTAAAATGTGACAGAAGTATCTCACCCACAGGAATGAGGAGTTTTAAAGGAACTAACATTTCACGTATAATGCGACCCAACATTGTAGCAAGCTTGGTGAGCACTGGTTAATCTCTCCCACGGAACTGTTAGCTGGTGTCTCACTTGGGTGAGAGAGATGTCTTGAGCACAAGGATGGTATTTATGGCAACACAAAAATACGCCGCACACTTCCTAAAGAGATTGCTTTTTCTTTTTATAGATCATTTATTGATCACGTATTATTACACAGAGTTCTAGTAAGTTTCTTGCCATCCTTTCTAACAAAGGAGAAAAGGAGACAAGTGGCACTGAGGAAGTTTACATCCCACAGCACCACAGGGGGAAAGAAAAACCCTCAGGCTCTTACATGAGACCACAGAACCATAAGCAAAACCACCATTCATTCATACACTTTATACCAAAACTTGTCGGTACAAAATGTAATTTCTCTTGAGCAACATGATCACAGTTTAAAAATCCAGAAATGTAATGCACTCTAATGTACAAATGGTTAGAAACTGGACGTGTTTTTTATCTCTGCATTTGATATCCTCTTTCCCCTACAAGTACTTTACCACAAAATGAAATCAAGAAGGAGAAACAATTCCTAATGATTTTAATTTGTATAACAGGTTACATGCTTCAGGGGCAGGACCAAAGGTAAAACTTTCAGCAGCTTAAATTTCATTCATGATTATTACAAGGACAGTGTATACCTGAAAACGCAGTTAAGTTTTTCTAACAGCAATAATAAATATTAAAGAGTTTACAAATATTCAATAATTCTCAAACAGATACTCATCAAAATGAGTTAAGTCGAAGGTGTCATTTGCCAAAGTTAACGCAGTAGGAAAAAACTCATCAAACATATCAGTCTTCACGGGGCTCTCCAAGTTTAATGTCCTGATGCAGGCATTGTTTATCTGTAGGACTGCCTGAGCGTCACACTGGCTCCTCTTGGTCGGGCTGCAATAATTGTGCTCCTGTTTCAGATGTATGTTCTGGGGATCATTAGTTAATTCAGTGGGTTCTGGGGCTGGATCATGGTTGTCTCCCATTTCCAAATACTTCACATCGGCCTCCCCAGTTTCTGAGAGCTCCGTTGAAATACCTGGAGACAATAATTCTGCTAAAATTTCTTCATGCATTTGATTGCATGAGGAAACACTGGTACCTCCAGATTTACTGTCTGCAACATCAATATGATACTGCAGTTCACTTAACAAGTCTTCTATTGATTCACAATCATTTGGAGACTCACACTGGGGCCCATTTTCTAAATTTTCACTAGGAATTCCTCCACATTGAGAGGCAGCCATGAGGGCAGCTAACTTCTTCTTTTTTGCCTTTAGTTTTCTAAGAAGTTTCAGACGAAGCTTATGAATCTGACCTTCAGCCAAGTCCCCATGGTTTGCTGAAGAAACCCCATTTTCCCTTCCGGGAGAAGGGTGACTGAGGTGAGCTCCACGTGAGGCCCTGTCCAGCTCCAGCGGAGGTTCTGAAGCGGTATTCTCACTTGTGCGTGGAGAAGCAGCTGTATTCCCTGAAGGTGGAAGATCTGGTTGGGGGTTGCGGACTGCAGGAAGCTGATCTGCACATCTGCGGGCTTTCTTTGATATGTGGCTGGCCTTTTGCTTTGTACCTTTAGTTTTAAAGCCACCAAAATTACGCGCCCCTTTAACTGAAGGCTGCAAATCAGTTATAGTGTTTCTATTATTAGCCGAAACACAGGAGGGCATAAAAGAAGCACCCCTGCTTAGCAGGCCTTTAACCCAACTGCCCACAAATGGTTTCTTCTGATTTTCTTTTGGGGGCTGATTCTGTGATGATGTGGCGGTCACAGACTGTGGATCTGCTGTGGCTTTTTTCTTCAAATTCGATACCTGAGATACAGAAGGTGTTTCTGGTTTTAATTTCTCAGTTTTCCATGAAAGGGTCTGTTTTAACTCAGGGTCCTTTGCAACTTCTCCTGACTTTACTCCCTGGACAAGACCAGCAGCCTGCGCGTTATTCACAGGCTGAGTAATTGCAGCATGTTCTGTATTCAGCAGTTCCAACTGTGTGTTTGTGTTTACAACTTGCAATGGGAAACTTAAGCCCACAAGCTGGGCTTGGGTAAGTTTTTCTTTACATGGAGCTGACACTGAAGAACCCACTGGTGATTCCTGCAATTGCAAAGTGTTTGTTTTGATAAGCCCTGTATTTTCTGCCACAGGTGTGTTTTGGGGTAGGAATGCTTCAGTGGTAACCTGAAAAACTGAGGCAGTCTTCCAGACAGAGCCTTCAAGTGTCAGAGGTAAAACATTACTGTCAGCCAAAACTCTTGGATCTGAATGTCTGTGATCTTCCTGAGCCACAGCTCTGTCCTGTGGGAGGCTATGAGGAGCAGGGGCCGCAGACGTGGGGAGAGTGAGTGAAGACGTCTCTGCTGAGGCAGCCCGGGCCGGAGGACGCGATGCTGGAGTTGCTGGTCTCTCTTCCCCGGAAGCATGCTGATCATTAGTCTTCTTAAGTGGAGGGCAGGCAGCTTCTTCATCTGTTGCTTGGGATGTTTTTCTTTCCCAAATAACAATATGTATCTCTGAAGCGGGAACTGCAAATTTCTCATGCCTTTGCGCACACAAACCCTTTAGGTCGTCACATTCCAGCCAACTACCTGGGGAGAGAACAGAAAGTCAGATGTTAGACATTCACCAACCACCGTCCTAGCTCCGCTTCTGGCCTCTTTAACTGCTGCATTACTGAACATCCATCAGAGAAGAACCCCTAACACAAGGCCTTATTCTTGTCACCATTCTTCTTTGTTGAAGACTTATCAGGGTGACAAAAGTTAGACTAACATTTGAAGAAATCTCAACAACTGGAGTAGTTTTCTGAACAGTTTACACTGTTTTCTAAAATACCCACAAAAATCACAACAAATTATATTTAACTTTTGGGTCTTAAGAACACACTATCATCAAATTTATCCAACAATATCAGAAATTAGAGTAAGTTGCTTCATCTGTATGAATTCTCGAGATAAAATGAAGTTTGTTATCTCAAGTACAGTTAAACTCGTTTCTTTTTCTGAGTTTCTATCTTCCCATCAAGCAGGAACGAGATGAGAAATGACAAGGGCAGAGTTCAAGGACTAGGGATACTGTCTACAGTTTCAAAGCATAGTACCGAGAAAAAAATCTGTGAAGAGTCCATTATTTACAGCACTCTGGTCACTGGCAGTTACTTTTGCCTGCACAAATTTCAGCAGTGTGGTAGGAAGCTATTCTGTGGCAGACTGAAGCATGAATGAGCAGTAAGGAAGTTCCTTGCTTAAAGTATTCCTTAGGGGGCAAAAGACACCTATTCGAAAAGAAATAACAATAATGTTGGCAGATGTGGAGAAAATGAAATAATTATGTCCTGCTGCTGAGAATATAAAATGGTACAGAAGCTGTGGAAACAGTCTAGCCAGCCCTCCAAAAATTAAAGACAGCAATTCTACTTGTAGGTATACAGCCAAACCACTGAAAATAGTACCAGATACCTGTTAACCAACAGTAGTACTCTTCACAATAGCTAAAATGTACAAACAACCCAATGTTCATGAGATGAACAGGTAATACATACCTGATTTTCACTCAGCTTTAAAGAGAAGGGAATTTTTAATGTGCCAGAACATAGATGGAGTTAGAAAATATCCCAAATGAAACAGGACACAAGATGACAAATTCTGTATGATTCTACTTAAAAGAGGTACCTAAGGGCCATCAAATTCAGAGACACAAAGTGGAAGAGTGTTCCCAGAGCCAGAGGCAGGGAAAGGACTGAGAGTAGATGCTTAATGAGGAGTTTACGTTGGGGATAATGAAAAAGTTCTAGAAACTGATGGCTGTACAAAACTTTGTACTTAATGCCAATAAATTAAAACTTTATGTTAAGTTAATGTTAATGGTGAATTTTATGTGACGTGTACATTACCACAATAAAAAATGCACGAAGGAAGACGGCTAGCTGATGACAGCTGATGGGGTCAGAGGGAGATGCGTTCATACTTTGCTTACTACCATGTGACAATTTGAGAACCGCTAACTACAGGTCTGGATGAGTAACAGCTTTCCAATAATCAACAGGCATCTGTACTTTTCTTACTGATTCCCCCTGCGTATGTCAGTACCTATGTATTTATGAAACAAAGACAGATACAAAAAGATGCCCTGAGAATTGCGGCACAGCACATAGGCAGCTATTTCTACGAAATTAAATGTGGTAAACTAACAAAGCACGGTGTCAAACATCATCATATGCACCATAAAACATTTTCTATTCCTTGAATCACAGTCCTGAGCACCCAAACCACTCAGTACAGTATTTTAGGAAACACTGTTTCTGCAGTAGAGAAGAAACAATCAATACAGCATTCTTTAATATTGCCAAAAGTGTTTACAGACACTTAAAGCTTACAAAATGTACTACAGGTTCCTTTCCCTTTTTCTTGTACATAAGCATCTACCCTTTTAAAAACAGATTTCTAAAAGCAGAGACAACTCATGGCTTATACTGATGCGGTGCATCTATCCTGTTCACTGTTCAGTCCTGAGAAACCCATTATCTTATCCTTCACGGTTTCAAAGGCATGCTATAGGGACTAATCTCCAACAGGGAAGTTAAGAAAGGAGAAGGAGATCTTCCCTCAGCTGCTACTTCAGGCCAATTGAGCTGCTAATAGACCAGTCAATTTCTAAGTTAATGGGTGAGAATAAACAAGTCTAGGATCCAACATACTAAAAATCTCTTCTCCTACAGAGAAAAATTAAAACCAAGAGTAAAATGTTGACTGAAGTATAATATCTGATACAAACATCTGCACTCTGTGAGTGCATCAGTCACACAACAGAAATGCGGATTCTGACAGCTAAGTCTGATAGTTCAGAGGCACAACCTGTCTCTACATATAGACCAAGCCCTTTAAAGGTTTTGTCTGATGTGGATACACACTTTCTGCATCTATTTTTCTTTTGGTACCAGAAATTGAACTCACAACCTTGCACTTGCCAGGCCAGGCACTGTGCTGCTGAGCTATATCTCCAGCCTTGAATCTACTATTTTATTTTTTTGTTATATCCATTAAAACTTTAGACTTTGTAGCTTGCCTGTGTCAATTATCTTGTACCACAAACACAGGAAAATCACCTGGAGAATTTTGAAAACAATACTGGTGGGCGCAGCAGCACACGCCTGCAATCCCAGCACTCACAGGTCGTTGTAGATTCGAGGCCAGCCTGGACTACATAGCAAGACCCTGTCTCAAAAAGAAAAACACCCCCCAAAAACAAAGAACAACTGATACCGGTATTTGGGCCCAGTTGCTAAGACTGATCTGTGTTAGAGTCTGGACAATTTTATAAAATTGTAAGTCAAGCACATGATTCTTACAAGCCGTCAGGGTTGGAAATTATGTCGTACTTGAAGTGGATTTTACATTTCCTAGAGTGCAATACAAGTTCAAATAAGCTGGTTTTTTGTTTTGGCATATGTTATTGAGAATTTATCTCCTCCTAAATTCTGGTGCAGGGTAAAACTTCAAGGTAATAATTATAATAATGTGTTTCAGTTTGAAAAGTGTCTTTTATAGTACAGTATTACTTCATCCGCACCACCTTAGGAAGAAAATATCAGATATGAAAAGTGCTCAAACAACAGAAAATGGTTATAACAAAACACCCCTCACTAACGACCTGAAACTATAAGGCAGTGGTGGCATACCCATGGCATGCATGTTATTGTGTTTTTTTTGTTTTTTTTGTTTTTTTTTTGTTATTGTGTTTTTAAGACAAAAGATGTCAATGTGTGAGTTGCTTTTTCTGAACTAAAACTTCAATATTCAAGTTTAACTGCAGTGTTGGCACTTTGTGATAACTGAGTGGGTTCTGGTTTGCAGTCTGGCACTTGATCTCTAAAAGGTTTACCCTCACTGCTTTAAGGAGAATTAGCTTGTCTAAGACAAAAGAACACTACGAGGAAACAAGGCCAGAATGAAACCATGCAGAACAAATGGAAGGGAAAAAAAGCCCCCCAAAACCTGTGGATTGTACTTATTCAGCCTTCCATTGAGAAGTTTAAGGAAAGATGTTACCTGGACTGAATCTGTCAGCAAACTATGATTTCAGATTCTACGCAGTGACAGAAGAGCTACCTAACGTTTAATATTCTTGAACAGAGTTTGACAGGCACAGTAGAACGCCCCTCTAATTCCAGCACTTGGAGGGCTGAGATAGGAGGGTCACTATGAGTGCAAGGCCACCCTGAACTACATAGTGAGACCCTGTCTCAAATTTCTCAAAACAAATAAAACATGGAATTTTTTTTTTTTTTTATATTTACAATAGCCAACTAAGCAAAATTTAATTTTGCTGTTCTCAATTAAAAGCCTTTAGTTTGATGCATTTTCCTTTTAAAAGTATAAGGTATCTAAAATTTTAGAATTTTCACCATTCACTTTTCTATACCGAACATACATTACACATGTAATTTTATTTATTTTTGATTTTTTGAGACAGTGTTTTGCTGTCTGTTTTCTCTCACTACTGAGACAAAATACCCAATATCCAAAATTAAAGGAGGAACGGTTTATTTAGCTCACAGTCTATGGAGGTTTCAGTCCATACTCTGCTGGCTCCAAGGCAGGGTGGCAACCATTCATGGCGGTGGAAAACAGCAAGGGCTGAAAGGGAGGTGCAGCAAGAACAAGCCTCTTTCCCGCCCATTATACTGTACTCAGGCTGCCTACCCCAGGTTGAGTGTCGCACTCACATCCGTAATCCCAGCATTGGACCAGGAATCAATCACAAACTCTAGAAGTCGGAACCTATCACTGCATGAGACTTTGCGGGGACATCCAGACACACACCACAGCACTGTCTGTATGGTTTAGGGTGGCCTTGAACGTGCAGAGATCCAACTGTCTCAGTCTCCTGAGTGCTGGTAGTATAGGCAAACATGTAATTTTATAAAAGTAAAGACATTAAGTGGAAAAGAGGAAACTGCAAAATAATAGTATATGATTTCATTCTTTGTCTAAAAAATACATATATGCATATACCTACAGATACACAACGGAAGAGTGAGGAAGCATACAAAACCCATCAAACTTTTAATAAGGGAAAGGAGCAGAAGAATTAAAGGCAAAGGCAAGAACAGAGAGAAAATAAGTCAAGGCAAAGTTTATATTAAAAAAAAATTCGCTAATGTTTGGTTTCCATGCCTATTATTATAAAAAGAATTTTTAAACACTTACCATCTGCATGTAAAATCCACGTTATGAAATGGTCATTGGCTTGGTACTGAATTATGGCTGTTACTTGATAAAGACAGCCTCCAAAATGAAACGAGTAGTGCTGCAAGTCATTCCGCGGTAACCCTTCTACGAAGTGCAGCATGAATATGGGAGACACTCTGGGAAGAGAGCAAGAGAAATCAAATTGAACGTCAAGTGTCTGCTCATACAAAAAATAAGTGAACTAGGCAGGCTAAGAGCTTGCAAGGCTAACTTGACTTATTTTTATTCAGGGCCTCCAGATGTTGCCTTAATTAGAAATGCAGAACTCACTCTAAGAAGTATGTAATACTAAACCTTTTTGGAATGGCATCACCAACAGTTGGAAGCCATCATGCATTAAGACTACAGACCATTAAAGAAAAAGCTGTTCTGTAAGCAAGAATAATGCTTTGACTTAACGATCTCATGGTAGCTATTTTGTAGGATTCAAAGAAAAAGTCCAAACCTTTCAGAATTCTTTGGTTTCAAGTTCCCAAACTGCTATGTGGGCTAAGTAATACATAAAACAAGGTAATAAGCCTAAGATAGTCAAATGAGCATTAACTTGGCCTTTTTTTCTCTGGTAAGAAGTAGAGAGGGGGCAAAAAAAAAGGAAGTAGAGAGGTCATTCAATTGAGATTTATATGTAGGAAAAGTTTAATTTATAATTAAGTAGAAAAACATAAAACACTGGGTCGATATGTTATAAATTTCAAGATACCCATAATTTAAAAAATACATTTCACCATTACTGCAACAGTTAACCCAGAAAACAGAACCCACAGATGGGACTCAACTAAATTTAACAAAGCTCTCAGGATTTAAGAAAAATATTTAAACAGGCTGTCAAAATTTAACATAGCTTATCAAAATTTACTCAGCTGAAATAAACTTGAATAAACGTCCACAATACAAGACTGTTCAGACTGACAAGGGATAATTTGTAAACTACTCTTTGTCCATCATTTTCTTAGAGAATAATCAAGTCCTCATAACTGAAAAACCTACAAAGTCCTAGAAACTGCTTCTAACACTGACCTCTTTCCCACGGCCTTTTTATACCTTTTCACTGAATCCAAGACTAACCTACACCATGCCATCAATTTTTAAAGGTACTACTACTTCACATACTTTAAAATTTGAGTTTGGATCTCTGAAATCAATGATCCACAGTAAGACTTGATTTATTCTGACAACTGGATATATAAGGTTGACGCTTGCCTTTTTCTAGTTCAGTTTATTGGTACATTTTAGGTATATATTACGATCACACTTGCCTTTTCTACTAAAATATTAAAAATAAACTAAAATTAAGTAAAAAGCTAAAAATTAAAGTAAAATATGACTAATATTTAGTTCCCTTGGCCTCATACAAGACGTTTCCTTCAAGGTATGTTCTGAAGCTAGTTACAATCTTTTCACGATCCTAGACTAAGAAATCTCACAAGTTTCCTGCATTTATGTGAGTTTACACATGGAAAATTAACATATGTACTAACAGGAATAAGATAACCTATATAACCGCGCTTGACAGATTTTTATGCTTTTCATACTTTCAAGTCCTCTAAACTGTTCTGCAAATCAGTAGAAGTAAACACTACCAAGACTAAAACTCACACTCAGCACGCTTCCTCAGACATAGCATACACATATTTAAATTCTAACTGAATGCAAGTAATGTTCCGAAGTCCCTCTGCAGTCTAGATAGGTTAGAAATTTGATGCTAGTATTCAAAAACAACAAAATATGACAACAATCGGAGAAACTACTTGAATTTGTGAACATCCTTTTAATTACACTTGCCTCCTTGCCAAAAAATTGACTTAATACACCAGTGATCTAGGGCCTGACAGGAAGTGAAATGATGCTGAGCAGAATCATCATTCTCCACACAGTTCTATTACCATTTCACCCAAGCACAGGGCGGAACTCGCCGCACGTCCTCCCCACTACCGAGCACCACCCCAGCCGCTCCGACAAGACAGTCTTGTAACTACGAAACTGAGTTCCAGATGCCAAACACATTTTCCTGAGTGCATTTCCCTGAGTGTGAGACTGAGATGCACCTTGTCACTGATCGCACGTAGCTGAAAAGGCAGCATTTCTTTCTTAATAGCACACTGAAGAACTGGGGCAACTTAGAAGCAGTGCCATCTTGGGAGTTAAACAATATGCTTCCCCCTCCTCCTCCTCCTGTTCCTCTTTGGGACTTCCAGACTCTCAGTATCCCCAGAAGTGAGTATTTTCCTACTCAAAACTCCAGCCGGTCTCATTTCCAGCCTCTCAGATGAGGACAGAAATTTGCTCTAGGTTCTGTTCTCAGGCTTCTTTCCACCCTCAATACTGCAGGGTCAGAGATAGGGTAATGCTCAGAGCTCAAGACAGGAAGTCAGGTTTCGACTTAAGAATTGGAAAAAAAAAAAAAAACATGGATGGAATGGCTTAACAGAAGTGGAACCAGAAGTCAGCAAGAGCTAAGACCTATCTGCCTTCACCTCACATGGGATTGGATTCAGGAAAAGAAAAACACTGGAAGGACAGAAAGAAAGCATGAAGAGACCATGTTAACCCCAGCTTCAAAGGGACAGCAGGGAACCAGGCTCCACACCACAAACAGCCACGTCATACGCTGATGGTCTGGAGTACACGTTTTTAATTTCCATTCCAACTGTGTGACCATCCATTATTTCAGAACACAGAACAGTGTGAATATGATGTACATCTGAACAGTAATAAGGTAAGCTTTACACAGAAAAATACCTGCAAATGTGATTTTTAAATCTCATTACATTTTAAGGTCTATTATATCACTTCAACTATTCCAGATTCTGACAAGAAATGAAAATATGAATAAACTAAGCAATTCAAGAAACTGGAACTGATCATACTAACTGTAATAAGAAAATACATCATTAGAAAAATTTGTAAATTTTTTGTAAACAAAAGTTTTTTGTAAACAAAGGTTTACAAACTTTTGGAGGGAAATTTCAAAAACCTTATAAATAAATGATAAAGCATTTTCTGTCAAATAATGAAAACTTAAATTACCAAATATAATTTACCCTATTTTATATATCAGTGCTTCTGCCTAACATATCGTAGGGGAGGGTGTAGTTTACCTGCTTAAAAAAAGGAAAGCCTCAAAATAAGGCACCTGAGTAAGTGCAATAAGCACAAGTTGCTTTAAAGGAAAAAAAAAAAATCACTGTTAAACTGAAGATTATGTGCAGACTCCTAAAGGAGAGTGTGGCAATACTAAAAGCTCACTTTAAAAGCTTCAGAACCACAATTAAATCAGATTCTGAGATCTTGATGTTTCACATGCTCTGAATATAATTCCTAAGCAGTTCAACGGGTAGTAGATTGGGACGGTATCACCTGGTTTATCAATGGGCTTCCTTCCCGAATGGGGACATAACAAAGATAGTGGTCAGCTGAGACAAAGAGGACTGTTATGCTTCTAAAATGCTGTATGAAGCCGGGCATGGTGGCGCAGGCCTGCAATCTCAGCACTCAAGAGGCTGAGGCAGGAGGATCATTGAGAGTTTGAGGCCAGCCTGGGCTACAAAGTGAGCTCAAGCCCAGCCTGAGCTGCATATTGAGACCCTGTCTCAAAAAGACAAAAAAATAAAAAAAAAAAAAAAGCTGTATGACTGGACTGCTCAGAGTACCATGATGGACTTTATTACTTTTAAGTTCTACCCAAAAAGTACATATTTTTTCTAAATTTCATTAGACACTAAATCAAGTTAATCCAAATTTCAAAGTAAAAAATCTATAAAGGACTTCCAAAATCTGAATGAAACTTCACAGGAATTCAATTTATTTTTGAAGACTACAGGAAATACCCAAATTATGAATTTTGCTTACACATCCCAGTGAAACTTAAAACATTTTTGACTGAAAGACTGTTTTCCCTCATGGGTAAGTTTCCTGTTCACAGCATGACTCTTTAGTGCAAGCAAACCAAGGTATCAATATGATTAAAAAGTATATGTTGCTATGCAATTGAATCAAATCAAACATCAAAAAAAGTAACAAAAAGAAATCCTTAATTACAAGCCTTAAGAAAAAGCAAACATACACACTGCACGAAATTATACATACCATGAAGCCTCAAGCACTCCAACAGCCCAATGGAAGATAGCGGATGGCCACGCCCTGCTGCCCTTCCGCCTCATTATCATGGAAAAGACTTACAGGAGGATCCCCTAATCACTGAGAAAACTTGGGACCAGGTTGAAGACACTCTTTCTTCCCTCCTCACCTCCCACTCGGGCGCTATCAAATGACAGTGGAGGACAAAAACAAGTGCTAACCCAGAAAGATGAAGGCAAAAGACAATGAACAAACAAGGAGCAGATAAAGATTTACAATACAGAGAAAGTGCAGGGTAAGCAGCAGAACAGACCAAGTAATGACACAAGTGCTATGGAGCAAGCACACTCATGGGAACTGATCTGGACCACAGAAGCGCGAAGAACTCAGTATTTATGGGCAACAAGCACTGTGGAACACGGCGCAAGGCCCAGGCTACATACAGGGCTGGGGAGTGACTGTGTGTACAAAGAGGAGCCAGTGCCAGACCCAGACAGGCACCGGGGCAGGCTGGGAAGTGCGGCCAAGAATGGAAGTGGGCGGGACAGAGGTTTCTAGGAAACCCAGGATGGGGACGTGGAGGGGTCTAAAAGCCCAAGCAGCCTGAGTGTCAGAAAATTACTGTCACCAGATGGAGTGGTGCCCATCTGTACTCCCAGCCACTCCTCAGGAGGGTCAGACAGAAGGCCAGCCTCAGCAACTTAGCAAGACTCGGTCTCCGAAAAAGGGCAAGAGGGAGCTGCTGAAACCATTCATTAAAAAACTCATAGTGAATACTAAAGCAAATGAAAACACAAGACAATTTCAGGAATAATAAGGAACTGTAAGAGAATAAAACCCAACCTTCTATAACTACTCGGCCGGGGAGAAATGTGCGTACATCGACAGTAACACACACTTCCACGGGGAGGACGGGGAAGCTCAACAGAGCCAGAGCCCAGGCGCTGCTGAAGGCGCCCGCGCCCTCATGCACGTAAGAAAGCACAGACCACCGCAGCACAGGTAAGACACCGCTCGGCCAGGTCACAGCCAACACTGCCTCCACCGAAGCAGACGCCGGGAGGCTGTCCTGTCTCCTGTCCTCTCGAGCCTTCCAACAGCTGAACCATGACTTCAGTGAGAACAAACTTCGGGAAGGGTTCTGAGGAGTGCCTGGCAGATTCAGCGGTTACTCTCACTAGTCCTTCCTCACATCAAATCACACCTCATTTCTTTAATGTAGTTAGACTTAAAATGAATGCTACGGAGCACGGGTGACGGGCATGTGGACTAAGGAGACACACTGCTGAAGACGGGACTGACCTGTCCATCCAAACTGACTCTGGGAACACTGCACAAGGTAGTTCTCAACAGGCTTCCCACTGAGGACAAACCACAAAGTCAGCGAGACAGCACAACACGTCCACCGAAGGGCCGCAGGAAGCTCACAAGGTAATGAGCCAGCAGGCCGAGGGCTGAGACAAGGCAGAAACTGACAGATGAGCCTTGGTTCATCTTTCAAGCACCTTGGATCTTGAAATTAAAGAAATCTCAGAATTCTGGTGACTTCAGACCCTTGGCAGAGGGAAAAACCTGAAGCCTAACATCCACACAGTGAGGGGAAAGAGGGGGCAATTTTAAGGAAAGCCCAGGAGGATGGGCCGGATCACCAGAGGCACTGCGGCAGCGCATTTCACTAGGACAGCTTCCTACCCCTGGGTCATCAGCTCCTCGTGAAGACGGGCACCTGGCAATTCCTAAGTATTTGCCAGGAATACACGCTCACACCTGAAAGGTAGGTTGTAGGTGTCACTGTCAATCCAACATTTTAAAAAAGAAAAGCAAAATTATAAGGCCATTTTAACTCACTTTTCCAACACCATCTTTCTTATTTGTGATCTACTGTTGCAACTGTTGCACGGGCCGAAATGGGCAGCATTAAGCGGGTGCCACCCGGGGATGACATTTGTAAAGGTGACGAGATTCTTCACACATCTAAAAGACCAAAAGCAGAAGACACAGCTTAGAGTCATTTACCTTAGATTTACTTACATTGATTTAAACCAATGTCTAAAATAATCCCTTCATTTGCTTATCCACACTCTTATTTTCCCAAATCATGTATTAATGAGGCGATGTTCTCCCTGTCCCTGAGAAGAAAGTTCTTTGCTAACACTCTCCACATTAGATATTTAGTTTTTCAACTCTGAGGAAGCAAGAGAGTGTGAAAGGCAGGGCTCTCAGCACAGCACCAGGTAATTCTTTGTCGTGAGGCACTGTTTCGTGCCCTGGATACGTCTACCACATCCCCGGTCTCTACTCCCTGGATACCAGTATCAGTCCCCAGTGCAGTAACTGGTGTCTCCAGACACTGCTGGGTGCCCTACAGAGAAGCCACAGAGCCCCTCACTGAGACTGGCTATTCTCAGGCTATCAAATTTAAGAGCTCATCTCTTATTCAACTCAACCTGGCTAGCCATCACTGACAACCAAAAATAAAATCGGTGTCTTCAAATATACGGTCAGGAATACATCCAATTTAATCTGCTTGATCCTTTAAAAAGAATTACAGCATTAGCTGTGTAAGAATTTTGCTTTTTCATAGGTTATCCAAGTTCTAAATTTGCACTTTAGTCTGAGTACTTGATAGCAAATCATCTAAAAAGAATTTTAAGATGTACACTGAACTTCAGGTGTACTTATTTAATTAAAATATATTTAATATAAACAGCAATTACATATCACCAGAAAGACACAAGCTTTTTCTACAAAATAAAAAATACTGACATATCATAAATTAAAAAAAAGCACTGGCTGTTAAAAATATATTCTCAGGAAAGCTAACATTTTAAATACAAAGCAATAGAAAGGTACTAATAGATGTATTGCTTGTATTCTGCTAAAATTGTTCAAAGATAATTGTAAATAAAGGCTCCTATTTTTTATTTTGTAAAAGCAGAGTTGTCTCAGCAAACAAATGTCACCCAGCATTTCTGGGCACTAGGCGCAAGGCTTTCATCTTCCAAACGCAGGTAAGTGGCAGGTACGACCCTTTCGCCCATTTTACAGAGGAAACAAACACACAGGACGCTCCAGAGGTTGGATGACAAACTGGAGCCCTGACTTCAGACATGCGTCTCCAACAGCCAGATGTTTAACTGCCTCCAAAATATACTTTCTAAGCCCACAGCACTTAAACTGGCACAGAACAGCAGCCTGAAGACAAATGAACTGGCGGGGCCGCCTTCACATTGTGGAGTTTTGAAGTTGTAACACTGAAATATATTTAATGAAATGCTGCTTCACTTTAGCTTTTCTCCATTAACTTTTTATTTTTAGAACAAAGAAAAAATATTTTAAAGAAACAAAACCAAAACGTAAACAAAATCGCTGGTGGCCTCTTCCCCTGGGGCGCTCAGAGCCTGGTCTATGCACGTCTCCAGGCACACTTGCCCTCTTGTGTGCAAAGATAAAGGAGCTAAAAGATCCAATTAATGACAAAAATCACTGGCCCTCTGTGCTCATGTATTATCTCCCTCACTAATTAGTAGTCTGACTTTGGCCACGGTAGAAATTATTTCCAATGGCTAGGTGAGTTCCTGGCACACAGAACACACTTAATGAAAAGCTATCAAACTACTCAGATGTGGATTCTAGAAAAGCTGCAATTAAGCTGATTCTAATCATTAACCTTGCTTATATTATTTCGAGCCCAGGTAGTGATTAGGGGATTTACCGCAGTGAGCAAGAAAGGCTCAGGGGCCAGAAGACCTAAACTGTGCCTCCAGATTCTGCACTTCCAAGTGCCCTGGGGCACCTCCTAAGTCTTTCCAAGCTTTAGGGGCCCTATCTGTTCAATAAGGACACTTTCTGAGTTACTGTGAGGAACAGAGCAGGTCATTCACTTATCAACGACAGAACACCTCTCGACAGGCCTCTGCCCTCATCCTTTCCTGCTTAGTTACTCCCTCCCAGGAGGAAGTAAGCATGCTCAGCTGTTCTAACAATTTTGAATTTAACAGGTTAAAAGACAAATAGTTTCTGTTGCTTGCAATTCCTAGACTCTAGGGTTTAGAGCACTCTCTTAAAAAGCCAGGCATGGTGGACTACACTTGTAATCCCAGAACTTGGGAGGCTGAGGCAGGAGGATCAAGCGAGTTCAAAGCTATCTTAGGCTCCACAGTGAGTTCAGGGCCATACTGAAACATATACGAAGACCCTGTCTCAAAACTAAATACATACATAAGTACAAAGAATCCCACACTGTATTTATATCATGAATATCTAGCATTTTCATCACATTTTTACTTCATAATGTTGAGGATTAACTAGTAGGTGAAAACATGTATCTTTAATATTTGAATAAATGACCAAAAGGGCAGCTGGTCATCTTTAAATTGTCAGCCAGCCACTTTCTCAGGTACAGATGAAGGAAGGGCATTCTGACAAATACCTGCCTGCTGAGTGAGCCCCTCGAACCTAGTTCCTCCCGATTTGGTAGGGTGTGGTGGCAAAGAACCTGCACTTTTTCTCCAGGCCACCTCTCAAATGCCAATCTCGGGACTTACCTATCACCACAGTCTCTCTAATCTTTACATAAAGGCCTTGAGGGAGCACAGTTTATGGCTGACACAGTTCAGGTACAGGAATATTCTCAGGAGACTAAAGGAAGTAACGGGAAAGTGTCTCCACTTCTCACTAAAGAAATTCTTTGCTTTTTCTTTGTGGTGCTAGAGATAGACCCTATGGCCCTGTACATGTAGACAAGTGCTCTGCCACTGAGCAGTATTCCTTGCCTTTTAAAAGAAGTTTTTGAGATACAGTCTACATTGCCCAGGTTGATCTCAAAGTTGGGATCCTCATGCCTCAGCCTCCTGAGTAAACGGGATGACACAGCTGTACACAACACCTGACAACACTAAAATTCTTATGAAAACTATTAACAATCTCTCAAATCGTGGATTTTTGACCCTTTTGGTTTAAAGTACCCAGCAAACTGCAATTTCTGGTGTTCAAATATGTTCACCCACAGTGGTGAACAGGCTTAAAAATGTACTGGGAAATGCTGTCAAGGCAGAGGAACAGGGAAAGAATACGATATAGGCGCAAACAAGTTTTATTCAAATTGTATCACTCAGAACCATTTCAAAAGAATGAATCCATTTCAAACAAAAACTAACCTGTTTTGGTATCGGTGCCCACACTGTGAACATTCAAAGTTCCAGGAAAAAGAATACGTGAAGAGCTTTCCAATGGGGTCTTCTATTCTTAAGAGCAGAGGAAATGCAAACACAGGGCTTTCTCTCTCACCTTCCAGAAAGAACGGAAAAATTACTGTAATCAACACTCTCAAAACATAAACCAACACGATGAACTATTGTCTTTTCTCCCTGTATTTACAATACAAATATATGTAACTGTAGCATGACAGGGTAAGTCACTCGTAATTGGAGAGGGGGAAGTTTTAAAAGCATCTTCCTAGAAATGTCCAGCATACTTAATTATCACCTCAGCCTCTTCCTTTATAAAAGGTAGGGCAAAAACACGAAAGATCTATACTGTCTTCTCAGATCTTTATAATTTCTCTCAGGAGAAAAAGAATCTTAATGAATCTAGGTAACAAAGACAGTACCTATTAAAGCAAAAGATGTAAATGGTTTGTTGCAGACACTAAAAAAACTTTATACGGTAGCACACAGTAGTGTCAGAATTGGACAAAACCATTAAAGCCCATTTGTTTTGATCCTCTTGTCCTAAGCAGGCAAAACATACAAGGGTTAAAGGACCAGCCTCATTCCTTCCGACTCACTAGCTACCATTCCTTCTAACAGTCTATCCTAGGCTTAGCCTTCAAAAAATTTAATCTCCAAAAACTTTAAGATCTGAATTGTGTGGTCACTGAAAAAGCCCAAATGGTAAATACTGGCATCTAGCACATCAGCTAAATAGGTCTCGGATTCCCACATTCATTCTCCAACTGGTTTCTCTCCCCAGGGGAGCTTATGAGGCCCAGGAGACTTACAGTCTCTTCCTCCGACAGAGCCCTACTGTCGTGGCTCAGTTCTCCAAGTCTGCAACTACAGCTGGGCGGAACAGGGCCAGTCACCTTGGCAGGACCACAGGGCAGACAGTAGGTGTTACGGGCCGAGCACACTCTAAATATCAGCAGTTACGAAGGCCATTTAAATAGTCACCTCTGGGGTACTGTCCTGCTATTTTAATATGAAAGCAGAAAATCTAAGCAAAATACCTTACAACTAGAAACACACATCAATCTCGCAGAAACGAAAACTGCAACACTAGGCAGAAGGGGTAGGCAGCACAGTACAAGTGCGTAATTACAGTCATCAGCCTTTAAATGTTTGCTCTTTCATAGCTAAATATTAACTGAAAAGTAAGCATTTTCCATTTCATTATGACAATATAAAATCAAGTCTAAGATTTATAAAGCTTTCAGTGAATCAAAATATCATGCAAGAGCTCAAAACAGTTAAGTAAGTTACATGGGCACAGACCTTAGGTAAGTTACATAGCTCCTAAATTTATCTGTATTGTTTTCCCTTAGATTACAAAGTTTAAGAACTAAGTAGAAAGCAATTTCCTAGAGAACATAAAATATCAATGCCTAACTTTCATTTTTATAATCTCTGTCTAAATTAAGCAGTCTCTTTGCCTCTAGACCTTAATCCCAACTCTCTAGGCTATGTCTCTGTGCAATTTGCCTATTTCTTTAAAATATTCCCACACTTGCAAACCTTTCAGAGACTCTGCTGTCTAGCTATTCAGTTTCCACTTCCCTTACTACATATTACCATCTTCAGGTCACCTTGTTCTTGACTTAAGAGTTCAAACTATCCCGGCTATTACTTCCATGTATTATCTAAGCCAAAATGTTTAAAACTTTAGGTTAATATTTATGAATCTTTTTTTTACCTTATGTAAAAAAATTTCCCTCTCTGAAGTGATAGATATTTGTATGTATTTTCTCCCATTTTAGATCCCTGCTTTTCACACCTGAGTCTTTAAATACATACACTGAAGTGTTTCTATGATTATGTTGTAAAGTAGGGACCCACTGTCCCCAATGGTCCCAGCACTGTCTTCTAGATATTCTTTCCCTACTCATGTGCATAGCTGTATGTCTCAGTACAAAGCAGCTGAAACGGGGAGGTTCTCGTTTAGACTCTGTCTCTGTCGTTGTCTACCTTACACACTACTACAAACTGGGAAAGTGGCCTGAAGATAGTAACGAGCAGTTAACAGAAAACCTGAAAAGCTAGACAACAAAGAGTCACTGAAAAGTTTACTGCACTAAAAACAACACTTTAAGGGGTCTGAGGCAGGAGGATCTCAAATTCAGATCCCACCTGGGGCACAACCCTGTCTCAAAATAAAAAACGGAATGGGAATGTACCTCAGTGTGAAGGCCCTCACTTCAATCCCCTGGACCCAAAATGAAACAAAAACAAAACCCAATAATCACTACTATAAAGAAGCTATCTGCCCCAGAGCTCAGACCCATCCTACTAGTTAGTCCAACAGGAATGAGGGGGCCCGGGGCATACTCTGCCTTCTCCCTCTAGACAGACCCTCATCTCCATGGAGGAGCCCCGAGTCATCATGACTATACAGGAAAAAGAAAACAGCCTGTTGCTAGACACAGGTGTAAGTCTCTAGGTCCTTCTTTTCAATCTTGGCCTTCCTTCCAGCCATCACACCTCAGTGACAGGAGTCACTGGTCAGGAGGTAATATGCTATTTTTTACAACCCTTAGGCTGTAACTACTTGTTAGATCTTTCTTGTGTCTCTCTGTCCTCCTGAGAAACCACTTTGGAGATACCACCATGTATTACAGCAGCCATTGATATTTTCCTACTACTCTGTCCATAACTCTGTAATGTTTGTATTGCTCCTATGCTATTTCATAAATGGATGCATTTTTATTACGATATATTTTCTACAACAACCATTGAGAATAGTCAATGATTATTCAATTGGTCACTCATGTACAGCTATATTTATTTTCTTTAGAAGCCACTTTGAAGATACCAAAGTATACTACAACAACCATTGATAATCTCCTAACACTTGTTTGTTATTATTATTATTTTTTTTTTTTGGCTTTTTTCCAGTACTGGGAATCGAACTCATGACCTCACGCTTGCCAGGCAGGCTCTGTGCCACTGAGCTAAATCTCCAGCCCCCTAACACTTATTTGTAACTCACTATTATTTGTCTATTTATCTTCCTGAGAAACTACCTTGTAGATAACAATATGTAAAACAATGACCATTGATAATTTCCTACCACTTTGTCTGTAATTCGGTAAGCCCCCTTATTACTACGTTATCCTTCTTTTACTCTTTAAAATAAAAAAAAAAAAAAAAAAAGAAGAAGCTATCTGGAAAGTTTAATCAACATTCAGGATCAGTGTAGATTCTACTTCTACACTGTTAAGTACATTCAAATAAATGCTAATGTTCAGAATAACAAGATACAGTAAGATTGTACGTGCTTTCTGCAGCGTTACATTCCTAAGAGCATCAGCTCCAACGTCTGCACTCTAGGCATCTTCTGGAAAAGGGTTCTTTGAAATGAATATTTACCCAACACCTTCGTGTGTGGGGATAAAGAACAGGGGAGATAACAAAGGCGTCTAGTGAAAATTTTTGGGTGACAGAACTATTCCTCATCTTGATTATAGTAACAAATATATTTACATGAGTGTCTTTAAAAAGTTTTACTGTATGTAAATGATACTTTGATAAAAAAAGAAAAGTGATTATTCATTTATCGGAGATCCCACCTGATAAATGAGAACAGTTCTTTAGACCTAGAGGAGGCAGTGCCAGAGATCCAGGGTATAGAAGATCAGCTTCATGTTATAAAATCAGAGCAAACATGTATGCAGGGGCCCATGAAAAACAAAGGAAAAACTAGGGGGCAGACAACACAAAAGCTGTCAGGAAGGCTGGGGATATAGCTCAGTGGCACAGCACCTGCCTGGCAAGCGCAAGGTCCTGAGTTCAAATCCCAGTACCAAAAAAAAGAAAAAAAAGACTGTCAGGTATAGACAAAAGAAACTGCTTCTGGATCAACTGTGCCTGAAGAAAAGTCACTTGCTGAGACAAAAGCTAGAAGGCACAGGTACATGTATAACATTATAGGTAATTACTAGTAGAAAAAACCACATAATATTAATAGAAAAGTTAATGCAAAGATAAAAGGGTAATGAACTTAAAAGACATTCTCCTCAAGAAACACCAGTACCAGCTGGGCACACGCCTGTAATCCCAACTACTCAGCAGGCTCAGGTAGGAGGATCACAAGTGTCAGGCCAGCCTGGGCAACGTACCAAGACACTGTCTCAAAGTAAAAGGACAAAGGGCTGGAAATGTAGCTCAGTGGTTGAGCACCCCTGGATTTCTTAGTAGCCAAAAACAAAAACAAAACCCCCCAAAACCAAAAAACACTAGTGCTCCTTTTTATAACACCAAAAAATTTAGAAAGACATGGACAGAAACTCTAGCTCCCTTACTTCCCTCTGTTCCCAAAGGCCAAAATTAATTCACAGGACAAAGCAAGTCCCATCCTTGTTCCCTTCTCAGAGGTGAAGAAGCTTTCCCAAGAGGTCATCAGCGTGTCTCTCAATGTTCCACTGACCAGAAGTTCATTCTTATAATCATTGGTAAGGAAAGCAGAATTACTCTGGTGGTTTCAGACCTGAGACTTGCAAACCTGTCCACATCTAAGCATCATGTAGAGGCTTCTAAAACTTACTGATTACCTGAGCCCTATCCTGAGATTCTTTTTTTTTGTTGTTTTTTTTCCAGTACCGGGAATCAAACTCACGACCTCGCACTTGCCAGGCAGGCGCTGTGCCACTGAGCTAAATCGCCAGCCCCTGTGAGATTCTGATTTCTGCTGGGCCCCAGCACTGGTACTTTAAAATTTCCTAAGTGCTATTTTGTTTCATTCTGGTGGTAGTGGTGGGGTACTTAGAATTGAACAAGGGGTGATCTCACAGTGAGCTACATCCTCAACTGTTTCTGTTTTGTTTTAATGAGACAGGGTCGAGGCTGGGGATTTAGCTCAGTGGCACAGCACCTGCCTGGCAAGCCCAAGGTCATGAGTTCGATTCCCAGTACAGAAGAAAAAAAAAAAAGATAATGAGACAGGGTCTCCCTAAGTTATCCAGATGAGATCTTACCTTGTGATCCTCCTGCCTTGGCTTCCCAAGTGCTGGGATTACAGGTGTGTGCCACTATGCCTGGCTCTTCCCTCTAGGCTTTTCAACGCACGAAGTTGAAAATGCTGTACTAGCCTACTTGGGGAAAGTCTTGGAGGACTAACGAAGGGTGTATATCCCCTCAAGTTGCTTAATTCTGAGAATTATACCCACTTGTGACAGGTAAAATATCAGCCTGCGTATTTATACAGAACAGCTCTGAACAACTGTGACTTGGGTCCTATGGGACCTTCCTAAGGGTCCTATGGGACATTCCTAAGTCATACTACCCAGATGATCACCCAAAGTACTAAAACAATGCACTTTCTTCCACTTTACAGATTTCTATGACAGATGAGTTAAGGTACACCAATTACTTACCTAATGTGCATCTAAGCTGGGGCTGAAGTTTAGTAAAAATTTCATCTCTGACTTCATTCAGACAGGTCTCTATCTCTGCAAAAATTTCTGAAGTAAGTTTTTTACAATCTCCATCTAAAACAGAACATTATCAATACCTCATTAATGTGTATCTTTCCACAGAAAAGTAAAGAAAGAATGAAAGCTTATCAAAATAAAGTTTTACAAACAAATACACAAAAGGCAAAACACAAAATGCGTTTAATTCTTCCTCCTCTGTGGTAGATCATATATTCCTTCAATGTCTGTTATCAGTACAGTATTCTTAGCATTTACTGCCTGAATAAAACGTTGGTGAAAACCTTTTTCACCCAAATAAATCACTGGCTTACTAAAACACAGGTTAGAGTCATTAGTGTCTCAATTTCAGGTTTCTTTGGATTTTGGAATTACTCAATCTTCATAATGAGATACTTGGGAAGCAAGACACAAGTCTAAGTGTGACACTCACTTATGTTTCATATACACATAGCCTGAGAATAATTTCACACTATATTTTCATCAAACACTGCTTCTTGACTGGGACCTGTCACATGAGCTCAGGTACTTTTGACATGTTGCCAGGCAAAGACTTTCAGATTTTGGATTTTCACATTAGGAATATTCAACCTGTAGCCAGGCTGTCAGAAATTTTGCCCATTTCTGAAGCAGTTCAAAACTCTCTCTTCACATGTTGTTATTACCTATGGTAGAAACAACATCTAAACATTTATCATACTTTGCATAACTTTTTTTGAACTTAGCTAAGTTAGAGGAATAGATAGGTTTATAAAAAATCTTAAGTCACGATTTTTTCCAAACTAATATTTGGTATATTTCACTCTCTATTTTGGTGGGGACGGGTAGAGAGGGTTTTGGCATCATAATCTTTATAGAATTACATATCCTGCTCTGTTCATAGCAATTTGCTTCATTAAGCACTCTGCAGTCTAGCTCTTATACTGTGACTTATACAATACATAATTATTAATCACTCCTTTGCTGGACATATAAGTTCTTTTTTCAATATTATAAATATTACAGTGATAGATTTTGGGGTGTGCATCTGTCTGTGTTTTTGATCACTTCTTTAATGTAAAAGTCCTCACAATGGAGTTGGTATAACAAGAAACTACACAAGATTAATAGGAAATTTATTTTGCATATAGACTCCATTTGTATGACTCTAGCTATGTTCAAGATATAAATGGATCTTTTCACTCAAATCATAAATAATCCATATAACCTGATCAAACTCTGCTTAGGTGTTTTAATAAGGAAAATATATGGATTGTCCTTAACATAAAGTAAACATTAACACGTTCCCATCAGCTTTACCACCAGCAGTACATGCATGACTGTCCCAGAGATGACTTGGACCACTGGTGGTACAAACTAATCACTTGTTTACCACTTTTTTTATCAGTCTTAAGCCACCTGATGGGACAGTCATTCATTCATATACCATAGGTAGTTCAAGCTACCTGGCAACGAAACAAACTATGGCCTCGTTGTGAATGTGGCTCTGGTATCAATTTGACTGTCCCATGGCTTAAACCACTGGTGGTCCACACATGACTGTCCCATTGGGCAGCTTATATTGCTTCTCAGGGGGTCTTTGACTACAATAATGCACAGAAAGGCCTTGACTTTGCAGATCAGATGTCATCATATTACAGTTCCCTAAGGAAAACATGAAAATGGTATGAAAAATTATAATGCAGCTAATTTGTGGTACAGCAACTGTGTGCATTATATCCATTAGCAATGCGGTATTTGTAAGATTTCCATATCAAAATGTAGAGAATTACTGATAAAGTATCCATGAATATACATTTCTTAATGAAATAAAATGGTTGATTATTGTAATATTTTTAATTGGCAAGAATACTACTGAGTTTTATAGTTGGCAGTAATTATTCAAATTCAAGCAAGTTAGTCCATTTACAGACATTTAATTAATTTTATTAGTAAAAAGATCAGTAAGTGATTGGATCTGTTTGTATCACCAGTGGTATGAGCCACCCAATGGTGCAGTCTTGCATGTACCACCGGTAGCTCAAGCTTGTGGAACATGTACCAAAATTTCTGTTATTTGATCGTGGAAAAAAATAAATCCTACAATCCAAAGGAATGAAGCTCAAATATAATTTACAACCAGATTATAAGAACTATAAAGCGAAGAGCTAATATAAAAATATAAAACTAAAATTAATTCCAATATTCAACGTTGCTCTTCTGCAATAATCAACTGAACCAGTTACCTGTTCATCAACTACAGAAAACTGAAGCAAGAAAAGCCAAGGGCAGCAGGCAGAGTATGCATGACTGCAATCCCACCTAGTCAAGAAGCTGAGGCAGGAAGGTTGCAAGTCTGAGCCCAACCTGGGCAATGTGAGGAAAACCTGTCTCAAAATAAAATAGAAATTTTTAAAAGGGCTGGGGTGTAGCTCAGTGGTAGAGCACTTGCTTAACATGTGCAGGACTCTGAGTTCAATCCCCAGTAACACTCCCACTATCCCCATGTAGCCAAAAAAGAAATTATTTTAAAAAAAAAAAAAGAACTGTAAAAATTGCAAAATATTACAGATGATTCACACACACACACACACACACACATACACACACAATCAGTCTTCAAGGAATTCAAAGTGAAGCATTTCTTACTTAACAAAATCCTAAATTTTTAAATATTTATACCCAAAGGTTGTTAGAATACTTGAGTTATTTTCTTTCACATAACAAACATAAAACTATGCTAGCACAACCTTTCTGGAAAGCCATTCAGCAAGACTATGAACATTCATGTTTCAACATTCTTCCCAGGACATAAATCGTACTGATTCAAAAGATACATGGATAGTTGTCATGGTGTGAATTCCCAATAGTAAAACACGATATGCAGCCTGAATAGTTAGTAATGGGGAAGCAATGTGCAGGACGCACATCAAGGTCTGGACAACTCAAGTCCCACACATGAACAAGAAAATATCTACAATGTCAAGTGAGGAAAACCTGAGCCAGGCATATTGGCACAGCCTGTAACCCTAGAACGATCACAAGTTCAAGCGCAGCCTGGGCAGCACAGCGACTGTCTCAAAATAAAATAGAAAATAAAAAGGGCTAGGAATGTAGCTCAATGTGAAGGCTCTGAACTCAATCCCCAGTATAGCAAACAACAACAACAACAAAAACCAAAAAATATAGAAACTGAAACATCTTTGCATAATGTTGTCATTCATGAAAAAAAAAAAAGGCACAAATAAGATCAGGTAAGAAATATACCAAGGCATTTAAAAAAAAGTTCAATAAGAAGCAATAATAAACAGTGGTGCAGACAGATAAACCTGGAGAATAAAACTGAGCTCCACGGAGCAGCTGCACATGCACATGGAGTGCCGGCACATGACAAAGGCTGCGCGGCAGATCAGCTGATAAAAGCGGAGCTGGAAAAACTGGCTATGCAAAGGGGAAAGAATGGATCCTTGCCCTCACACCACACACAATACCAATCCTAGCTACGAATTTCCCCATCAAAAATAAAGCTGATTTTTCAGTGAAAGTAATGACTTCCTTGACTTGAGGAAAAAATTTCTTTAAAAAGCCACAAACATTAGTCCCCAAAGGAAAGCTACAGCTCCTTGTAACTCAAAAGACATTTTTTCATTGTGCTTATATTGGTTAATTAATTTTGCATGCCTACGTCTTGTAATCTAAGCAACTACTTTGAAGACAATAATATGCAATACATTAACCATTGTTAATTTCTTATTATCCTGCTTTGAAATTCTGTCATTATTTTATTATTTTTATTTCTTTTTTATCTTTCTTTGAAATAAAAAAAAGAAATCTTTTCAAAGTAAAAACACAAGTTACAAACTGGGAGAAGATTCAGCAATACTATCTGATGTAAAAATACCCAATGAGGATGTTAAAAGTCACACAAATCAATAAGAACATGACAATCAATAGAACAAATAGGCATAAGACAAGACACACTTCACAGAAGAGGAAAACATTATTCCCTATACAATGTAATAATTATATGCACAGCACTTACGTGAGGTCTGATAAGTAATCCAGAGGTGATTCAAGGTATATAGGGGATATGCAGAAGTTCTGTGCAAACATCACGGCACTGAATATGTAAAGGACTGCAGCACCCTTGGACTTTGGTATCTGAGGAGGTCCTAGGACCAACCTCCCACAGACACTGAGCAAAGACAGCACTGATGTAGTTCCAAAATGCAAGTATTACACAGCAGTGCAAATCACTGAACTACAACTACAAGTAGCTTCACAGAACCTTACAAAAAGGAAAGGTACCAGAATACACATTGTACAAGGCCTTTTCTTAAAAGTTCAAAACTTTATTTGGCAACATATTGTTTAGCTATACATATGTTAAGAAAATGATAAAATGCAATTCAAGGTAATGATTACCTCTGGGTAAAGGGGAGTTAGGAGATACGATAAACACCCAGGTAGAATTCACTGGAATTTTTTAGTACTTCTTGGGATGGAAGGTAGCTACTTGGGTACCCTATTTTATAGAAAATAAAAAATATAACCCTTGTTATAAAGGAAGATTTGGGGGAGGATTTTTGGTTGACTTAGTTTTTACTTTAGTCCACTTTTCAGTAGTTAAAAATGTAAAGATTTTACTTTGATAGAAAGCTGTGATGACCGCTACCACCTCCACAAGCTAAGGCACAACCATAGCCTCTTTCTTCACTACTAGCTTTTGGGGAAAGCTGCCTCAGCGGCAGCCACACTACTGTGACTCGTGTTATCTCATGGCTCCCTGCCCCAGGACTCTACTACGGAAAACAGAAACTACTGGTGGCATCTTTTCCTCCCACTGAGACAAAACATTAAAATCTTTAAAACTTAAAAAGAAATAGCCAGGCGTGCTGGTGCCTCTAATCCCAGCACTCAGGAGGCTGAGGCAGGAGGACTGTTGTGAGTTCCAGACCAGCCTGGGCTACAAAGTGAGCTCAAGGCCAGCCTGAACTGCATAGCGAGACCCTATCTCAAAAAGACAAAAAAAAAAAGAATATATTAATACCAACCTTTAACTTCATCCAACTGACTGGTGTACAGGAGCTTATTTGCTTGATTATATTTCTCAAACAACCGCCAAAATACAGAGTCCTTAGAACACAATTCAGTCACAATGTTCTTCAAGGCTTCCAAGTGCACCAAAACTGACAGGATAGAATCTAACCAGCACAGCGCATTAGCATTTCTCCACTGGACACATGAAGTCTGGCACAGTGAGTATGTTCTCTCCAGTGGCGTTTCACATTCAGATGAACATCCTTCACTTCGAGAAGAAATTTCCCCAGTTCCAGAAACATCAACTGTGGCGGGCTCTTCAGTAGCCATATCAACATTATCAGTTGCCGAAGTCTCATTCTGTCCCAAGGCATCAGCTGTCCCAACTGAATCGCGTTGAAGGCTACCAGGCAATGAATCTGATGAGAGTTCAGTACATACTTCTCCATTATGCTCTCTATTTAAAATTTGTTTATCACCAGTAAAAATATGAGTTCTAGTCTTTTTAGAATTTGATAAAACAGATAAATCTTTACAGCTAGTTTCCAAGATCTTTCTTTTTTGAGGCTTATCTGGAGTGTGACAGTCTTCGGAATCAGGGGAAATTAAATTATTAAGTGACTTAGAGCCCAAAGGATAGATGCACTAGGAAGAAAAAACAAAAATCATAAAAACTGTAGAAATTCTAATAAGCTCATTTTATTTTATAGTTCCTGTGCCATACAAAATACATAAAACTTTAAGATTAATTTGACATTAACAGCTGTATTTATTAGCATAAATTTGGAAGAATTAGAGCTAACCAAAATTTGGCTGCCCAAAATATTTTTTTCAAGTTACTCTGGATAATCAAGGATTTAATATAGATTAGGGTACACTAAAAAGAAAAACATTTATTTTTGCTTTAGTAAGAAATTCAACATCAAATAAATTTTTAAGATTTCAACAATGTAAGGACACTGTGGAGAGCACTATTTTTTTGACAAACACTCTGTATAACATGAAATACTGGAAGAGTATTTTCAAATAAAAACATTGCATAGAGCAATTTCTATTTTTCTTATATTCTGAAACCGAACACGAATCTGAGAATGTTGCTATTTTATACCCTTAGTGGGTTTAGTGTCAAATTGGCTGAATTTTAATGTCCTTATCAAATCTTACTGTGCATTAACACAATTTCAACCAAATATAAAAGTGTACACAAATCACTAGTAAATTTTTCCTAACTCTGAAGACTACCAAAATATTCTACAAAACAAATTCAAGAACCTATATATAGTACTAAATGCCTTCATTTAAAAGATGCCTTCTATACAAGTATGGTAGAGTGCTTTCTTGGTGGCCTCCAAGGAACTGACGAACTATGCTCTCCTGGTAATCCATGCCCTCACAGTCACTCTCTGACACAGACCAGGCTCAGCCATGTGACTAGCTTTGACGGGACACTAAATCACATGATGCACATGGACGCTCAATAAAAACTGGCTTAAGCACTTGAGAGGCTGAGGCAGGGGGATCGCTGTAAGTTTGAGGCCAGCCTGGGCTACAAAGTGAGTTCAAAGGGGCTGGGGATTTAGCTCAGCGGCAAAAGCGCCTGCCTGGCAAGCGCAAGGTCGTGAGTTCGGTTCCCGGTACCAGAGAAAAAAAAACAAAAAAAAAAAGTGAGTTCAAGGCCAGCCTGAATTATATAGTGAAGCCGTGTCTCAAAAAAAAAAAAAAAAAAGACTGAGTCAATGAGCCTGTCTTCCTAAAGCCCACCTTCCAGTCCCAACTATCATACTGCGAAGCCCAATTAGCCTCATTAAAAGACCTAATACTCTCAACTGACTGCCTAACTCAGTTTAGAGAGCAGCTAGCACCACCTGCCAGACATATAGGCACCTCAGCTGTTCCAGCAGACATTCTATACAGTGTGCAGTTACCTGTTGAACCCACAAAAATCATGAAAATAATCACTCAGTTTTGAGATGATTCACAGCAACAGATAAGTGAAATGCAGTAATTTCCCTTATTTAGGGGCTTCTAGAACTGAATACTGTTTTTAAAATACTGTATTTATGAAATCCCTTAGTATACATGGAATTAGGCCTGGACTGTCACCAACTAGCTGCACAATCAACGTCAATAACAACTTGACCATCACCATTATAACCTTGAGATTTCCTAAGTTCTACCTTATCAGGAAACTGAAAAACACCAAAATCAATTAACAACTATCTATATCTACCAAAAGTAACATAAAGGTACATATCCCAAAAAAACTGAAAACAAATATTCATACAGCCATGTTCCCAGCAATTAGTCGCAGTAGCCAAAGATGGAAACAACCCAACATCTAATGACAGATAAACAGATAAAGAAAATGTGATAGACACAAACAATGTAATCTGATTCAGCCTTAAAAAGGAAACCTTGTCACATGCTACAACACAGATGAATCGTGAGAACATTAAGCTAAATGAAATAAGCCAGCCAAACAAAAGAAAAATATATGCTTTCATTAATATGAGCTATCTGGAGTACTCAGATTCATACAAACAATATGGTAGGGGTGCCAGGGACAGAACTAGGGTATCCAGACATAGCACTTTAGCTTTGCAAGCTGAAAGAAGTTCTAGATATGTTGCACAACTGTGAATATACCCAATACTCCTAAACTATACTCTTTAAAATGGTTAAAGTAATTGCTGTCTTTTGCCACAGTTTTGTAAAAAAAATTAAAGACCCAAAACAAGCTGGGAATATGCCACATGCCTGTAATCCCAGCACTCTGGAAGGCTAAGGAAGGATGCTACCTTTGACCCCAGTCAGGCCAGCAGAACAAGACCTTTTCTCGAAATAATAAAATAAAAAAGGGCTAGAGATGTACCTCAGCCCAAAGCTCTGGGTTCTAACGGCCTGAATGGTCTCCCTAAATGTTTTTTCAGACTTTTATTTTTATCTCTGTACGTCTGACTTTAGTTTCTATTTTATTTATAGTTAAAACGAATCTTTTTAACTAGAATAAAGCTTTTTACCCTATCTTTTAATTCAGGACAACTATCTAATATCATTTAAAATCTAACGCTGAAAAAAACCCTAATGCTGTCTTTCACTGATTTTTTGAGGAAGAGCAGCTTAAATACATTTGTTTTCATTCTTTAAAAAACAAATAAGGCCAGGTATGGTCGCACACGTCTGTAATTCCAGCACTTGGGAAGCTGAGACAGGAGGATCACTGAGTTCAAGGCCAGCCTCAGCTACATAATGAGTTGAAGGTCAGCCTGAACCACATAGTGAGGACTTGTCTCAAAAATTTAAAAAAAAAAAAAAAAAAAAAGAATAAGGAAAATATTTTATATTTGGAGAATAATTATCTACACAGTATTTACCAAAGACAAAGTATAAGAATAA